AATTACCACCCCCCCCCCCCCCGCCCCGGGGGGGGGGGGGGGGGGGGCATGAGAGTGGCAGAGGGTGGACGGCAAAACCGGTGTCTAGGCCACCGGAAACGGGGGGGTGCTGAATGAAACGGAACCACCTAGGGATAGAACGAGGGCTGCTGTCGGGGCTGTTGTTCGCCGATCTTGCAGCACATCCCCAGGGCTACGAAACAGCTCCCCGCCGAGTACACACCGCCCACACCGGCGCTGTTCAAGTCGACACAAAACAAAACACGTCAAGGATGAATCTTATCTCGGACATCGTCCCTCTCAACGCAAAACCACCAGCCCCGCGTGTCTCTACGCGAACCACTAAAAAAAACAATCAAAATCGAGATGTGTGATGAGGCGGGGATCTGTCGCGGAAAATATCGCCCCGCCCTTTCCACCCACAAGTTCCTTCCGTACCTCGCCAACGCCAGCACAAGCTGGGTGTATTCCTCCAACGAGTCGGTGACCAGCTCGGGCATCCCCGCGGCTTCCACAAGAGAAGCCCCGACCCTCGAGGCCATCTTGGCACCTCGCAGGGTCACCATCGGCACCCCGGCCCATAGGGCGTCGCAACCCACAGTGTGCGCGTTGTAAAGCTAGAGAGAACCGGGAGGGGGGGGTCGTATTCCAGGTGGGGCGCGGCGGGGGCGGGGGCAGGGGCAGGTGTCAAAAACCCGAATGAAACATGAGAACATGCAGAAACTACTTCCTCGATGCCTCTGAATGCAAAGAGGGGTCATAGCTCAAACTAGAGATCGATCCTGTCTTCGGTCCTGTTGGTGGCGCCTAGTCTCGCAAGAAACTCATGGCAGATGATCCAACAACGACGAGACGTACACCACCGTGCAGTCAGCGGGAACGCCCAGGGAGCGGCATGACTTCGTGGGCACAGAAGGAGCACAAGCAGAGCAGAGCCTCTATTGCGGCTTAGAACGAAGGGACCTCCCTCCCTCCGTCAACGACAAACGATGGCATGGCGACGGGGTCCAACTACCAAGACGAGCAACACAGATGCCCCCCAGTCCCCCCAATCTCACCGGAGTGTCCACGAACAGATCCGCTAGACGGAGCCGTTGGAGGTGCTCCTCCTTTCCAACCAGGGGCGCAAACACTACGCGCCATTCGTCCACCCCCGCGAGCCTGGCCTGCCGCAGGAGGTTGGTGCGGGCCGTCTCGCCGCCGTCGATCAACCACAAGACCGTTCCAGGAACCGTTCTGAGAACCTGCGGATACCGGTGGGGAAGGGGCAAGACGAGGAGGGGGCACGATTCGTGGGAAGAGGCGTATCGGCACGTGATTGTCGGCGTGAATTACAGTGGGAAGGCAGCACTCAAGAAACAGAGTCAAAATTACTATAATAATAGAGCTCAAGATTCGGTACGTGAATTTTGACGCACATCGATCCGCCGTCCCTCTCCGCATGCGCGCTCACCTCCATCCAGGCGCCAAAAGTGTGCGGATCAAGCTTGTGGAGACGGTTGAAGTTGCACAGCACTACCCGCCGCCCGTCGCCTTCTCCCTCCCGCTCCCGCGAGACGTTCTCCAAAGCACCTTGTTCCTTCATGGTTCCCCTGCCGCCGCCGCGCCGCCACCTTCCGGGAACGGGAGACCACGCCGCAGCACGCTCGCCGTTGTGACCACCGCCCGGACCACCGCCATCTCGGCGGCGGTGCGTTGCACGCCGGGAGCGACCACCCACGCCGTAGTCGCGGCCGTCCCTTACGAGCGGTGCTGCCCCTGACGCTGCTGCCGCTGCGGTAAGGATGCCGCCTCCCTCCTTGTCTTCTTCCGTTGCCGGCGGCAGCGGCCATGGAGGCGGTGGCGGTAGAGATAGTCCGTGGTCCGCCCTTTCGGGGGCGGGAGAATCTATCACCCCGCGCTCGCTCTGTCGGTAGTCGTTGACGAAGTAGCAGTGAGGCATGTCCAGCACCTGTATGGGGGGGGGGCAAGGTTGAGGGTGTAGAGAGAGGGGGGGGGGCGGGGGGCGGGAGCCGGGGGGGAGGCAATGGTTGCGACGCGGCACAAGAGGCTTCAACGCTTTTCTTGGTTCAACAAAGCACGGGAAGACCGTGGCGCAACAGCCAAACTCGGTAACGAGAAGCAGGTAGCGTGGCGCGATACGTAAACTCTTTTCCTGCGGTTTCCTAAGATGTACCGATTATTGCCCGTGTGCATTTCCTCTCGCACAGCAAAGTACAGCACACCAATCATAAGAACGTTTGGGCACCAAACATATCAGCCCTCACGTTCGTTCAGCAAACGACAGACGCGGGAAGCGAAGCCATCCCTTCGTAACCATAAACAGCAATCCGAAGGACCCGAGGCGTAAAGAAAATCACCACCAGGCAGCGGTTGATCACCTTCTCGGAATAGAAACGTCTCAACTCGGGCGGAACAACCACCGCGTCGGCGAGAATGTAGTCCACCATCTCGGAAGAGCCCATGGTTCCGGGGAAGCCCATGTAGCTCACGGCTACCGCGGCGGGGCGCAGGGCGAAGATGTCCGCACTCTTCACGGTGCCGGCGTAGCCGCCGAGGTTCACGAGGACACCAACTCTGATAGGGGGTTTCGCGGTTTGGGTTCCGGTTTGTGTGGGCGTGCGTTTTCATGATTAGGATCGACCGCGCTAATCCGCTGATCAATGCGAAGACGTCAGTCTGAATGAGTTGAAGAGAGATAGAAGCGCTTCCTAGAGGCAATGGTCTGGTACCCCGCGAGTGTGAGGGTGGAGAGGCGTGCACTCGGACAGCGGCCAGAGACTGCAAATCTTGTGGATGATCACATATATTTTTTCTCTTCTGTTTCTATCGGCAGGAGAAACCGGCCCTGGCAGTAGTGGAACGCCAGGCCGCATCGCAGAGCAGCAGCAGCAGCTACCAAGAAATGTCACCGTTCGAAGGGACCATTTCTTTAGAGAACGTTCACTGCCATGAAGAATACATCTACTGCCCTGCGAAGAACCTGACATGCGAAAAAAGTATCGAACGTGCCTATACTCTCTGTTAGCGCACGCCACGACGGCACGTTTGTCGTACACGAGGATAAAAGAAAAAACAATAACGACCGGTACTCATTTTTTTCAGGTTTAATCCAATTCGGTCTTTCCTTTTTTCTCGTTCCTCACCCATCGTCCGCGATTGCCGCGGCCGCCTCTCCGGCGGTCATCATGCTCAGGTCTCGGAAGTTCTCCACCTCCCTTTCCATGCGCCGCCTCGGCGCCGAGCCGTCGTCGGGGTTGAGAGCGTACAGGAATACCTCGAAGCTGTCACGATCGTGCATCCCAAAGGTGCTCTGTTGTCGGCGCGCGAGAAAGGATGCAGACGAGACTTCACAAAAAATGTTGGCCTTGATAGTTTTTGGGGGACTAATGCAGAATTGGGGTGCTTGTGCCCATACATGTACCACGTGTGTGTGTGTTTGTGTGTGTGTGTGTCGAAAGTGCCTATCGAATGATTTCCGTCGAACCGCTCTCGCAGCTCTCGTGCGGACGGAAATCATGATGATCATCCTTACCGTATGCCTTACCAGGCACAGCACGACAAGCAACGAAAACATCTCGCAGTCGTCAACGTTCCATCAGCTACACGAAGCTCACAAAGCCGTGTTGCCTGCCTACGTGGCAACTTTTATCCGGCCTGGCCGCGCCCACTACCCCTATCTGTTCACCGCTCTACTTGGTTGCCCCGCCTTTGCGTGCGTCCTCCCGCCCTCGCCTGCATGAGGTGCGTCAGGGGGTGGGTCCCCATCAGGTCTCCGCTCACGTACCCCAGGCGCACGCGTCCCCTCTCATCTCGCAAGAGTGGCGACGAAGACGGTGATGAGAAACCGGAATGAAACTGCCGCAGCGATTGGCCCTGCACCCCCCCCACGCCTTCTTCGCCCAATATTCTTTTCTCCTCGTCTCTGCCTCGAGGCCCGCTGTTCCCGCCCCTTGCCTCTGACAGCACCCCTGAGGTCTGCTGCTGCGCGACTGCCAGGCAGTCGCCGATGGACAGAGGAGCGCTCAGAGAGTCGAAAGGGTGGAGGGCTGGTCGCGATGGGCCAGCGCCGGCGTCTCCGTTAACGCCACCGTTGTCGCTGTCACCAACATTGTTGCCCTGCCTTTGCTGCTTGTCTCGGGGCACCAACCGTTCGAAGTCGTCGTCTTCGTATCCGAGCAACAATCTATGTACCAGATCGCCATCGTCCTCCACCGACGACAACCGCCCTCCAACCCCCCCTCCTCTTGTTCGCCCTCGCCGCCGCCGCTCCCGCCGCCGAACGGCAGTCCTCAGGGTGAGAGCTTCGCCGTTCCAGTCGTCCCACTGGCAGAGCGAAGCGTTGCACTTGAACAGCGCCACTGACCACCGGTCCTTTCGAGCCGCGGCCGCCGCTTCTGTGGCCTCCTTGGAGGAGAGATGACCTGCTGCGGAAGGATCCGACGAGGAAAAGCTCGGTGTTCTCCCCCCTCCCTCTGCTGATGCTGCCGCGTGCAGCCCGAGGCAGCGGCGGTAGAGAGCGGCAGCCTCTTCGGGATTGCCGGAGTCGACGCAGAGCGCCGCCAGGCCTTCATGGAGGTCGATGTTGTTCGGGTCGGCCTGACACCGCGGGTCCGCCCGCACCGTACAAAATGGGACAGATTGGAGCGAGCAGGGAAGGAGGGGCGAGAATATTTCGAAGGTGAGGCCATGTGTAACATGGTTTGCAGCAGGGCACACCACCACAGCAAACGCATATCCTCGGCTTTAGTTAACTGCTGTACTTCTCAGGCTCTACAGAGTCTGTAGAGTCTGCAAGTCGTCAACAAAGTAGGCATCAATCTACGGAATCTCCGACATGGAAAATCCTACCGGAGACTCATGATGAAGTACAATACAACATACGTGTCCTCGTCGGCGTCCTAATCCTTTCGTCCAGAAAGCACACAGCAGAAGTAGCAATTTCGCGACAGCAACCAAAAGGCAACACACACCACAGGCCCAACCTCAATCTCAGCCCTGTAGTACTCGCGGAAGCCGTCCTTGACGCCCGGACACAGAGAGTCGATCCCGAAGGCAGCCACGAGGCAGTTGAACCCTTCCTGGCCTCTGCCCAGTCGGACGAGGGCTCGGCCGAGCTCTGTCTGACACACCGCCGATCGCGGGGCCTGGCTAGCGGCCTGCTCGAACTGGTAGACGGCGGACTCTAGATCACCCGCCTGGGTATGTTGCCGGCCGAGGGCGAGCAGTCGCTCGGTGTTCGCGCCGTTGTCGGGTCCGTCTTGTGCAGCTGCTGCTGCTGCGCACGTCGTTCGCAGGCGATGGGCGGTGGTGGTAGCTCTCGCGGTAGGGGCATAGGCATGGCGATGGTTGTTGGCACATGGCCATACCACGGCTGCAGTTGGGGCGACGCTCGGAGGTACAAGGTAGAGAGGAGCTAGCCTCATAACCCCACGCACTTTGGAAACTGAAGTGGCGGATGGGTGCAAGACAAAACACAGAGAGGCCCCCCCCCCCCCCCTTTGTGTGCATTTGCGAACTATTGGGTACCCACATTGAAGCACATGATCTCTCGTCCGTCGTGATCACCTCTCCGGCTCGTCGCTGCCACACTTCACTTTCTCTCGCTCTCTCGTACTGTCGTGAACGCACGCCTGAGGAAGCTTGGAAGCCTTGTGCTAATCTTGTACCTGGATCGGAAGGTGCACTCTCTGAGTCGTCAAGAGGAGCGCATCACCCGAGTTATCACAGGTGAATTTTCGCCGCAGACAGGGAACAAAAAATAGAGTCGGTAAAATAGACACAACGCGCATATTGCCCTCTTCCGGCACGATGAGCTACAAATACTATATTTTACTGGGGCGTCAGGAACACGGCCGCACCAAGGACGCGAAAGAGTTGAAACCACTGTGTGTGTGCCGTGTGTTTTCGCATGCTCTGCTCCCTGGACCTTCAGCTTTCGGAATCATCGTCTCGCAGAAACACGTGTTCAAAAACGATCTGCCTGCCGCGCATGTTTCGTTGTTTGTATCCTCTCTTGGTTTGTGTCCACCAAATCAATCCAGACCTCGAACACCGTATTGTGCCGGGCAGCTACAGCAGCTGTAGTAGCTCATCAAGATGGCGAAGAAGGAGGAGGGCAATGGCTCGGCGGCAAACCGGGCCACAAAGCGGCGCAGGGATTCGTCTGCCTCGGTCGCCTTGCTGGCCTCGGCGGCGCTCCTGTCCCTCGTCCGGTGCTCCGAAGCTTTCGTACTGGTGCCACCCGCCGCCCATCGAGCCTTCACGATAGCGCTCGCACCGGAAGCAACCCACAGCAGCAGCAGCAGCAGCAGCAGGATTCCCATGAGAAGAGACGCTAGGCGAGAGCGTATGGCCACGCTGGGTAAGGTCCGCTGGCAGCAGCCCGTGGAGAGCGGCCGTGGTGCGAGCTTGGTTGCTGCGGGGAGGGGGGCATGGGGCGAGGAGGTTCCCCAGCAGCAGGGATCCACTGCTGCTGCTGCTGCGAGCAGGGTGTTCTCGAGAAGCAGCAGCAGGAGCGAGGCGGGCGGCGCTGCTGTTGGAACGCTGCGGATGGGGGCGGGGCGACAAGGAGGGACGGCGCGCGGGGACATTGGGAGAAGGCTGGGCAGGGTGCGGCGGGCTGTATCCCGGGTGTTCAGACGAGGCAACGGGGCCGGCAAGGTGAGTTCAGTTGTCCTGTCCGTCAGTGTTCCGACAAAGGTGGGATGCGTCGGTCGGTATGCGTATCTTGCCGCATGCGCCTCATGATGTTGGGGGAGCACGTGAAGAGCTGACTCGGGGCTTGGTCTTGAGGCTCGGAGTCTGGAGCAAGATCGAACAGCTTTGGACCTGGATTTGGTTTGAAAAATAAATAACCCGAGCGAAGAATCGGACTGCTGCTGTGTTTGGAGAAATACAGCAGTGTACATTGTAATGGAGGAAACCAGGACATGTGTCCATCGAAACAAATGACGTCACAGCACGTGGCCGTTTGCCTTTTTTTTTTTTACTGCTGGCAGTCACACGCTCGTAAAAGTACATTTCTTACCGCGCACGCAGTGCTGAGGAAGTCACATGTCACCTGTGCATCTCTACCAAGCTACGCTCTTTCCACCTCCCTACCGTGAGCCACCGAATCGAAGGTCACTATTATGTAGCGTCTGGACGTCTGGATACGACACAAGATCATATACTGGCCGCTGTGTACCTAAAGTACGTACACCACAGCAGTGCAACACCCCGCGGAACGCACTTACAGCAGTGGGGGGCCCTCTATAGTGCCGGAGTGTGTCCCGAGATTTTACCGGCACTGTACCGGGCGCCGGCTTTTTTCACAGTACAGAACGACTCGGTATATATTCCAGTGTGTGCGAGCCGAAAACACCGGCACTATTCAACCGGCACTGTAGAGGGTGAGCATGAGCCTTAACCTTGAAACCCCTCCCGGTTCTACTCGGGGCGAAGTGAGATATCACGATACCAGCCAACACACACAACACACACAACAGTGTAACACACCGGTGACGTTTTTTGAGAAGCCAACATGTTCCTTCCTATCTATCGATTATCACCGGGGTGTGTTACTGTATAGGAGTGTTGTGTCGAAGTGTCAGTGGTGTTGGACTCTATTAATAGTGGTCTCGCCTATCGCGCCCAAAAGGGTACAAAAACGAGGCAGCAACCAACCGCGGCGAGTGCTCATTGTCTCTCATCGTGCTGCCTGTCTCCTGTGGCATTTTGCCGCTGAACACGCCACGACATTGCACGTACGGTGACGAACCCTTCCGTAGACAGAAGCCCCCGCACCACTCTGAGATGATCTCTTCGATGTTTGTTTGCTGGCCGTACGTAGGCTGATCCGGAGGTACACTGTCAGGCGTGTACGTATTGCGGAGCGTTTATTTCCCAAACATGTGTTTTTTCTCCAGCCGGAGAAAACGTGTCCTCTCCAAGAAAAGACTCACGCATTTCACGTCACCGGCGGCACCTTCTAGCGTAGGGCCTATGATACTTCCCTCAAACTGCCTTTCAACTCCACCATCAGCTCACAGGAGCGCAGAGATGATCATGATTTCCTTGAAAAACGGTACCTGTCGTTGTCATCGACTGCTGGGCTAAGGCGGGGTGGGCGGGGTGACGTACTCTCCACGAAAACCGTGGCTTGGGGCCTGGTTCCTTGTCGTTTTCTCTTGGTGCTCCCGCGCGTCGCTCGACTGTCGGAGCCAACGTTGGGTCAGAGCCCGTGCCGTGCGTCGTGCTGAGAGCGTGTGGCCCTGTCCTGTTACAGTAATTGTGGGCCAGGGCGTCCTGATGTTGGTGTGATGTTGTGATGGTATCGACCTTGGCGGAGTGCTGGTATCGACCTTATCGACGTAAACCGAAGGTTGAACGTCTTGGGGTCATCGTCTCGCCCGCTTGCTCTCCGCTCCTCCCTGCCCTGACAACCAGCACCCGTATCTTGGGGTTTTCTCACGTCCGCCGGTGCCATATGCTTGCGGCATGCCATTGGAGTACCGTCGACTGCATACGAATTGCTCACCCGGTGGACGAATTTTTAGAGGTCGATTTACTCTACGACGAAGAGGGTGCCACAGTCAAGTGATGCATGTTCGGAATTTTTTCTCGACGAGACGCCGCCATTTACGGCACGACCGTCACCACCTGCTGGTTGTTCCCTGCAGAGCAGTCAAGCTTTTGAACATCTGTCCAGGAGGGCGAGGCATCTTACGACTCAACATACCGGTATTCTATAAAGCCGACACTACACGTCACGGTCTTCCCTCTTCACGACAGCGACCCTTACTCACGAGGCATATCTTGATGCTACACCCTTGTCGCAGGTCGCTTCGTCGGCGGCGGCGGCGGCGGCCGCAACTGGCGGCGCCGCGGGGGCCCCGCCGCCGACATCGACGTCGGGGGGTGCGGTGGTGGACATCGACGACGTGCTGCGGCAGTCGCAGCTCCTGCTGAAGCGCGAGGACGAGGAGGGATCGGGCGGCAGCAAGCGCGTGCTAATTTTAATGTCGGACACGGGAGGGGGGCACCGTGCATCGGCCCAGGTGGGGGGGGCGCGTGGATCTGGGGAACAGATCCCACTGCTGTGCTTAGCAACTTGCGGTGTATCGATACATGCGACAAACGACAACCGCTGCACTCCATCCACGACGGCGTTCCACGAACAGCCAAGACTACGACGATGACGACCAACCGTTAAAAAGAGAGAGGGCTGTCATTTTTGTTTGTGTTGTAGATGAGAGAGAACCACGATCGTCTGGCTAGAGTTTGTGCCGCCCGGACTACGTGTCCACCCTCAAGACGGCTTGTTCGGGGGCGTGTGCAGCACCGGAAAAGTTGTCCTTGGCGTGTTTACAAACTTCACACGCCTGGTGTAAGAAGGACCGGCGACGACCGTACACTACAGCGTGCACAATGGTGTGTCGATGCAGTTGAAGAGTTTATTTTTTTTTGTTTTTGTTTGTTGGTGTAGTTCCTTTTGCTCCGCCATGCCCTCAGATATATATATTTTTTGACAAATAGGGTTTCAGGAGAGGGTGCGTCTGCGCCCATTCCTTGTTGAAAGAAACCTTCTGCCTGCAGTAGACAAGCAGTAGATACCTCCCTGTCGTGTTGCCGTCTCGGCGAGAACAGCAGAGCATTCCACGTGTCACGTGCCGCAAATACCACCGCAACGACGACATCGAAGACAGCAGCAACATCGCGCAGACTAGATAAGAGCACTGGGTAAACCGCTTAACCCACCGAGTTCTGGCTAAGTACCCGCATTGTCCCCTGCCCATCTTACTTTCTTGACATTTCCCGCCCACCCCCGATCGCTTTGCCCCCCCCGCGCCGGGTAATCCGTCTTGTGCGTCACCCCCTGCCTCAAATCTTGATTGTGTGCAGGCTCTGAAGGCGGCGTTCGATGAGCTGTACCCGGGCGCGATCGACGTGGATATCGTCGACCTCTGGACGACGCACGCCCCCTGGCCTTTCAACAAGTTTGTTGAGGCGTACCAGTACATGGCCAAGCGACCCCCCATCTGGAAGGCGTTTTGGGAGTACGGTCGCTTCCCCCTCACTCGCAGAATAACCAACGTGCGTGGGTGGAGAGTCGGGGGATGGTCGGTTGTGGGAGAGGGTGACGGAGTTCGGGACTCAAGCGCCTTGTGTTGTTATTGCTGCTGCTGCTGCTGCTTGCTGGTTCTACTGCGTACGCCCTCCCGCCCCCAAATTGGAAGAAAGAGCCCCCCTTGATTTCAACCATCCCTTTTGTCTGTACACAAGAGACCCACTGGCACAGTCGCTCAAAGCGTCTTTCTGCCCGACGACAACATGCTACCCCGCTCTTGTGTCTCATGTGACCACTCTGGTGTTGGTTGTTTGGCAGCAGCCCAGCTCTGCCGCAACTGGGAATGAACGTTGATTTTTGGCTACTTTTTGTTATTGTTGTTTGTTTTTCCGCACACCCGCCCCGCGCACGCTCCCATACAACCACCGATATTTCGTGTGGTGGGCGGACGGATACGGGGATACCTTCGAACGAACCACCCAACCAACCAACGAACGCACCCTACCCCCCCCCCCCCCCCTCCCTTTCTTTTTTTGGCACCCACGCCTACACTACGGCCACCCAGGAGGTTACCAACATCCAGTGCCACGGGCACTTCCGGTCCGCGCTGGAGGAGTACGAGCCGGACCTGGTGGTGTCGGTGCACCCGCTGTGCCAGGAGGTGCCGATCCGCGTGATGAAGAAGATGGGCGGCGGTGCGAGGGAGATACCCTTCGTGACCGTCGTCACCGACCTCGGCGGGGCCCACCCGACGTGGTAAGTATGTTGTTGTTGTTGTTGTTGTTGTTGTTGTTGTTGTTGTTGTTGTTGTTGTAGTACCTCCATCTATGCGTACTGATCTAAACACTTGACGCGGTCGATTCCCGTCGTCACAGGATGCCTTACCATGAAAGAGGGATACTCAAACAATACGCACACCGTACGCACAACAATGTACGTGCGCAGATGGATACCGTATATATCTCTCTCTCTGCGTTTTTTTTTTCTTGCCTTCGGCTGTTTTTTGTTGTCTTTCGTGTGGTTGTGTGTGTGTGTCGTTGATACGATAGGCCCCCGCGGGATGGGCAGGGAGATGCGTGTGGTTTTTGAAAGGAGACCACGGCAGACCCCGTAGCTGTTGTTTCCGTGTTGTTGCTGGTGTTTATGTAGCGTGCCCGTGGATGCGTGCTTTCTCGCTCGAGCTTGGGGCTGTGCGCTGCGGCTGCTGCTTGCGGCCTGTATTCCTTCTGTACGAGTAAGACCAACGGGCGGTTGAGAACGGTGGTCGAGGTTTCCTGAACACTGCTGTCATGGCGTTTAATTTGTATCTTGGCAACTTCATGTCTGTGCGTGCGTGGGTGGTGGTGTGCGTGCCTGCTGCCTGCTGCCGCTGCCTCTGCTCCTGCTCCTGCTGCTAATACTAAGCAACTGACGCTACGCTGCTGATATGCTACCTGTACGCTTCTGCAAGAAACACCCCCAACACAACAAAAACCCCTCAAAACGGAGCAGGTTCCACCGCGACGTGGACGCGTGTTTCGTCCCCAGCGACCGCCTGGCCGTCCTCGCCCGCAACTGCGGCCTCTCCCCGGACAAGATCCGCCTCCACGGGCTGCCCATCAGGCCGGGATTCTGGGGCGAGCAGTCCGCGAAGGCCGACCTGCAGGAGAAGCTGGGGCTCAAGCCGGGCGTCAAGACGTGCCTCGTGGTCGGGGGCGGGGACGGCGTGGGCGGCCTGCAGGGCATCGCGGACTCGGTCGGGCACAAGCTGGGGGAGGAGAAGGCCGAGACGCAGGTGCGGAGGGAGGAAAGGGAGGAACGGTCCGGAGGTGTCTTGTTTGTTTCGTTGTCTTGTCTTGTCACGGGTGTGTTTGGTTTGCTCTTTTGTGTGTGTCTCCCCGCGGCCTTTTTCGTGTGCCGCGGTCGTTCTTAATTTGTTGACTCCTTTTTTTGGTGCTTTATTGCCAAGCAGGTGGTAGTGGTTTGCGGCACGAACAACGAGGTGAAGACTTCCCTGGAGAAGGGAAGCTGGGCCTCGAACGTCCACATGCACGTCAAGGTGGGGTCAGTCAGTCAGCTCGTGCCGTGTTTGCGTTGTTTTTGGGGTAGTGAACCTCCATGTATCCCAAACCTATGCACTGCTGTTTGCCACCCCGCCCCCCCCAAACCCAAACCATGTTGCAATATGACAACTTGTGGGAGCACAACACGCCCGCCCCCGTCCTGCATATCATCTCGCCGTGTGGCACCTTCTCCTGACAGAATGACTCACAGGCACCTTTCATTCCATTTTTTGCCGGTGTGCTGGTAAAAAGCTCTCGAGTGCTGTTGTAGCCATCAGTACCTAACCTGCGTTGCTGCTGTTGCTTCCGCGTCGCGTGACTGGCTGTGGTGGGCGTGGGTCGTGCAGGGCTTCGTGTCCAACATGGACGAGTGGATGGGGGCCGTCGACTGCATCGTGACAAAGGCCGGTCCTGGCACTATTGCGGAGGCGATGATCCGCGGCCTTCCCATCATGCTCAGCGCCTTCTTGCCGGGACAGGAGGTACGCGTATGCGGTGACGTGTGTGTGTGTGTGTGGTGTTCATGTCGGTCTCGTCTACCACGTGGTTATTGTTGTTTTGCTTGTCGTGGTCTCGTCATTGCGCCGCTATCGCCACCGATATCGCTGTCGTTGTTGACATGTTTGCTGTATTATGCGTTTTCGTCCCATCTATTCCCCTCATCAGAGGACATCTTTCGATTCCACGTGAAGGCACCAGCCTGGGTCGCACAACCGACGAAGGCCGACGCTGAGTTTTTTTTTTGAGGCTGAGTTTTTTTTTTTGAGGAAGGTAGTTTTTTCCGACTTCCGTCCGCGGTGAATCCGCGCTGTTTTTCCAACCGCTGCTCCTGCTGCTGCTGCTGCTGCTGCTGCCGCTGCGCATTCTGACCATTCTGTACGGCGCATGCGCGCGTGCGTTGTGTTACCCCGGCACCCAACACAGGCCGGCAACGTGCCTTTCGTGACGGAGGGAGGCTTCGGGTCGTTCAGCAAAGACCCGGCCAAGATTGCCGACACGGTCAGCCGCTGGCTCAGAGACGACGCCCTGCTGGCGGAAATGAGCAGCAAGGCCAGAGAGGCTAGCCGACCACAGGTGTGTGTGTGTGTGTTTGCGCGTGTGTTTCTCTCGTCTTGTTAGCATCGACCGCGGTTTCGGCTGTGGGCTGAGCCGATGAACTGGAGGTGTCGGTTCATATCTATCGCGGGGATAAACATGCGAAATCATTTGAGTGTGTGTGTGCATGTGTTTCTTTTGAGAGCATCGACCGCGCTATCCCCGATGACCGGACAAGAACCTTCCAGCGGGACTACGATAAGAGTCGCGACAAACGTTCTGAATACGGGAGTAGGTGAAGTGATTGGGTTTTCGCTACCGGGCTTGCACAGCAACGAAACGCTATTTTAGCCGTAGCGGGACACGCAACGCAACCACCAATGCAGCTGGTACACCAAATGTGTAAAGGCAAGACCTTGGAGGACCGAAGGCAAGCCTCGGTTGGAGGGGGAGGATGCGTTGTTGTAGCCTGGTCTACTCGGCTCCCACGAACCCAACCCGGCGCGCATCGGAACTTGCCTACCTCTACAATAGCAAACAGAATATTTCTCACGAAGCAAGACACAGGTCTTCATGCTACGGTACACCACTCAATGTTACACCTCCCGCACGGAAACACATCGGTAACAAATAACCCTCCGCCTACCGCCCAGGCCACGTACAAGATATGCTCCGACATCGGCGAGATGCTATTCGGTTCTAAGGCCGACTTAGATGCAGGAAGGAGAGGAGTCAGCACCGTCCCCGCTGGCGCCGGCCTCTCGGTCGCATGATTGCTCTGCCATACATATGCGACGGGATAAGTGGTGTGGAATTTGTGGCCGCATCGTGTTTGTGGTGGTTATTTGTCGGTGGTACATAGGGCGGCGGCGGTGTGGGGACGTCGACTCGTCGTCATAGAGCCGAAGCTAGTCTGTGGAGTCGTCGTCGTTTCCCGTTCACTTGGCTTGAGTGAAATTTGGGGGTTTGGCCAGAAGCCTCCCTGCTGCGGCGCGTATAACGATTTTAGCTACCGTCCGAGCGACAGAAAGAACAGAAACCCGTCGGCCTTACGTAGACGGTTTCTTGATTCGTTGGTCCTTGCGTGCGATTCCGGCATCCCGTGGCGTGTGGTCGATACCGACTTTACAAGGGTCTCTTCACCAGGACCATGTTGTACGAACTTGCGTCAGCTCGTGCTTTGTGTTGGGTTGAGAGCCGAGCTTTGTTTTTGTTGGACCTATCCTATAGCCGCTTTGACTCTGCTTTCGTTTCGTTTCTTGGCGGTTTTCGGTTTCGGTGTGCATAAAAAAAAAGAAACATGTACGATATTTCATATTCCTCGTTTGCGTTACTTCTATTGAGTGCATATATGATGTTGCTGTGTTTGGTTGAGAGCGTCGTGTTGTTTTCTGCATTGACACCATCACTGATGGTCCTTTCAGTTTTAGCTTCAGACTAATAGTTCGAAGTATTAATTACTGTGTGAGACGGCTGCTGTGTGGCGTGTGATTCCTCACTGCTTCAGTAAAATGGCAACAAGGAGGCTTTTTTTTTGTTTTTCTCCGATCCTGCACAATAAACTGGAGAGTGGAGAATGTGGAGGTTTGGCGAGAAAGCATTCGCCGAGCTACACCCACCAGATTTCGCCCACCCTATTTCGGGTTTCCGCATCACTATTGAGACACCCCCGGCTGTGGTACGTCACCCTACAGCAGAGGTACCTCGGGATTGGTGGTGGCTGTGGGTCCCATCACTTCAATGATGATGGTTGATTCGCTTTCAATCCACTGTGATCCATTTCCTTTCCGCGAAGACAAGTGGCAGCATACGCCGCTTGGAATCGCTCCGCGCCGCAGTGGCGGAGTGTTTGGCGTAGCGTGGCGGATGGGGTGTACACACGTGCACAACCAAATGATGGATTCGATTCGCACTACACTGCTGTTGCGTGCTAACGAAAACAAAAAGCCTTGAGTTCATCCAGTGAGATTCCCGTTCGTTATTCAGCGAGGTTCCTGAGGGGGTTGTTGACAACCACCGCCGATTTGTGTGAACGCAAAGAGGCGATAAATCTCACTACGCAATCAGCATTCGACTCTTCGACTCTCAGCAGCACCGCAAAACTCAGCTGTGGAAGCAAAGTGGAAGAGAAAATTTTGTGGCTCGTATGACAAAAAAGAGCGGGAGACGTACATCATGATACCGCTTAAGTCTGTCTGTGCCAGACGTCTAGAAGTCTCGAGGCGACTCACCGATGTTTTGGCTCTCATTAAAAAACAGAAACCGAGGTCTCTCGCCTTGCCTACTTCTTCGTGGTCGCAAGACCAGCACACGCCCCCCCCTATATTTTGGTGTCCCCCTCGCCCTCTACATGTAGGTGTTGTACTCATCTACTTACGGTAGCCGAAGACAGCCAAAGGAGACTAAAGGAGGGCGCTGCGGTTCCCGTTTCAGTTTTCGGGTTGTTGACTCAAATCAGCCACCAGGATGGGTGGGGTGCGCGCTCCCATTTGTGTTGGGAGCTCCATGATTTGATGATATTCCATGTCTACGTGCCAGTGATGTTCCGTTTGGCTCGGGCAGGGGGGGTGCTTCATTTCGGAGATGGCAAATTAGGAAATTAGACTAGTCTTCTACAAAACAACGCATGCTGTCGTGATGTCCCACACGGAGATGGAAAGCTTCGCGTGGGTCCCTCGGCGAGGTAGCCGGTTGACGTGCAGCTCTCAACTGGTATGTATCTAGGGTTTTGTCGACAACTCGTCTTCAGGTGTTGAGTTCGGTCGCTTCTGGAACAAGGCTGACTGGGCATTTGTTTTGAGCGAAGTATAAAGAACGGCCTGCCATCTCACAGCTTGTTGTGCCGTCGTTGGCGAAAGAGCGAGTTCTGACGGACGAGTTGCACACACGCGCTGCACACCGGTATCGTTCTTCATTTTACTCCTGCTCGTGGTATCGTCACCACCTATGTGCGTACCCACTTTCCCCATTGTGCCTACGTATTGTTTCCCGAGCTTTCAGAGCCACGCCCACAAGGAACTCTGCGTCGTAGCCACATCGTTTCGCCTGTCATTCTATCACAACGCCCATCTGCCGCGAAACCCCAAGTTCATCAGGAAAACAGTCCTGACAGCTGCGTGGCACGCCGGCATAGACTCTCGTTCAAAGCGGAATACACACGTCCTGAGAGGAGCAAGTCCTCTATGGTACAGATGGGTAGTTAAGGACGTCAGCCATCCCACTCGCTGAAACAAGCATGGAAGCAAAGACAGGAGGGGAAGTACAAGTGTTGTTCCTAGCCCGTGATGTATCTGTGTACCTCGCCCTACTTTTTTTAAAGCCATATCCAACCGCACCGCGAGCATTCCACAGGCCCAAGCCCAAGACAACGATCAACATCAACATCAACATCAACATCAACATCAACAACAACAACAGCTCTCATTCACCCGCACTACGTACGGCCATGCATGCAGAGCGCAAGACCACACCACGACAGCCTCAAAAACTCAACTTCAACAGTGAGCCGGGACAACAAACACACTCAAAAGGAATAAGCATTTTCGACAGATGAGAATTTTATTTGTGCATCAAGTAATGATGAGAACAACATTCATTCGTGAATTACCGAGGTGAAATTGGTAGTATTTTCGTTTCGGGCAACACAACAATATGTAGCCAGGGAGTGAAAAGGAAAATCATCCCCGTCATGTCTGCCCGCGGTATCATCACCGGCGGCGTTTCCCCCCGCTCGAACTGGATACCCGAGTAGTCACAGGAAGGAGCGCAGAACCGGTGCCTTGGGTAGAGCCAACCCCTCCAGTCAGCGGCGCTGGCGCTGCGCTAGCCGCAGCACCGGCGGTGGGCTGAGGAGCGGTGATGACGGAAACGCGGGTCGGGGGAATGGCGGTCGTCGTCGCCGTTGTTGTCGCCGCCGCCGTTGTCGCTGAAGCCGCACCGCCGCCGAATGTGAACCGAGCACCGGGTTGGTTGCCGATAAAGGCTAATGGTGCAGAAGATGGCCGGGCGGCAGCGGAAATGGCGCTAGCCACAACCTTTGGTGCAGGTGCCGTCGAAGCTGTGGCTATGCTAGCCGAAGCACCTGCGGGGGCCGGAGGAGCGGTGATGGCACCGTCTCCGCGGCTTGCACCGCCAGTGCCGAACGTAACCCCGGTGGGCACGGGCGGTACCGACGATGTCGTACCACCCCCGGGTCCGTGGGGGGCAACCCCGCCAGCCGTCACGGTCGGGCCGGGAAAGGGGGCCGTCGTCGTCGTCGTTGTCGTCGCCGCCGCCCTTGTCGCCGCGCCGCTGCCGAACGTAAACTGAACACCGGGTTGATTGCCGGTGAAGATGTATGATGCAGGAGGTCGGCGTGCGGCGGCTGAAGTGGGGCTGGCTACAACCACTGGTGTCGGCGCCGTCGAAACTGTCGCTACACCCGTTCCGACGGCGGGTATGAAGATGAACCCCGTGGCATGGGCGGGAGTGGCAGCGGGAGCTGGGTCATCGACGTCCATCGGTGACGGGTCGGCAGAAGGAGGTGCCACCACCGACACACCATGAAAGCCGGCGGCACCCCCAGTAGGAAATGTTGGAGACCCAACGGCAGGCAGAGTGCTGGGGGCCGCAGCGGGTGGCGATCTTCGAACCAATGACCTAGAAGGAGGTGCCACCACTGACACACCGGGAAAGCCGGCGGCACGCCCAGTAGGAAAGGTTGGGGGCCTATAGGCACGTAGAGTGCTGGGGGCCGCAGCGGGCGGCGGTCTTCGAACCCTTGGAGGGTTGGTTTCAGGGCATTCCGGCCTGGAGAGCGAGAAGGTCGTGTTGCGGGCGGCACCGACGAGGTAAAGTGCGTGATCAGAACTTCGTGGTCGACCAACGACAAAGGGTTGCACCCGACGGCTTTCGGGAGCGTGACACAACAGGGGTTCCCGAGGTGCTTGGAACTTTAGAAGCTTTACGGCACGTAGCCGTGCGTTTAAGTAGCCCAAAGGTGCGAAACAGTTGTAACTGAAAGGAGTGATCCAATCCCTACGACATCGTGCCACACGGTTTAGGAAAAAAACAAGATGGGAGCCCCAATAACGTCTTCTAGCCAGCCAGGCAGCCATCACTTGAGCGAAGGGTTGTGTCTTATTCTGAGTCTTTCCCGAGTACTGTTTTCTGATATTTCGAAGACGAGTAATCCAAACCACGTTCCGCAGCAAAAGTGCAACGGGCGCCCTTATTCCGTTGTTGATTGTACAACTTTTCTACAAACGATTCGAACAGATGTTTGCTAAGTGCTGAGTTCGGTGCGTGCTTCATTGTTGTTTGCAAGCCTGCGACCACGGACGTCGCACCCCGCGTGGGGTAAGGGACCAACACCGCACACGGACGTACCGGGCACACATTCAGAACGAGCAATTTCGTGGAGAAAAAAGACACAACAAACATGCCGACCACCGTAAACGCAACAAAAGACACAAGACAATGATCAACTGAACAGATATTTACACAGAGCCCATCCACCAACTCACAGGTGATCCGCGTGAAGACGATAGTGGTCTCTGTATCCTCCAGACCAACCCACTGGGCAAAAGTGGCACTGATATGCGCTTTTATCGTTGTTCCATAAACGAGTCCTGCGCATCCCGCACCAATGGCAAATACGCATGGAAGGCCCGTGGTCTCGCACGACGATGTTGGTTACGCGGGGCCTCGCCGCCGCGGATGCACCACTTGAGTGAGGCACCGTGAGAGTCCCGTTGGAGAAGGCCTTGGCTGGTTCTTGATCCCGTGTAGTGGGCGTCATTGCATTGCGAACGGAGCGCCCGACTGCCCGAACTAACTGTTGAAAGCGACAGGCGGAGGTTCAGACGTTTCGTGGGAAGAGTCAAAGGGTAAAACAGCGGTGGGGAGCCGGACGCATTCTGTTCAGTCGTCCGTCATGCGTTCCACCATTCCGCGAACAAATTGAATGAAGCGGCGGCGAGGTCCTGCGTTCAGGCCCCCGGCCTCCTTTGCTGCGATCGTCGTGGAGGGTGCATTCCGCGACACCATTACATCCAATTTCATACGAATGTCCAGGCGTAAGTGCAAGACTTGAGTATGATGTGTCCACATGAACTCGCAGAGCACACATGGGAACACCGTAAACCAATGCCATCGGGCATGGACACAAGGTGTTATCTGGCACAGACTACACCACCAACATTCATTCTCGTCGGTGATATCCGTATCTCCGAATAAAACGTACAGGAAGAAGACCTCCCCCCCAATTCCCACCTTCCTCACACAACATGCGCACCTACAGTAGTCCTCGGTTTCCTTACGGCTTCCCCTTACTACCGGCATCCACTTTTCGTTAGCCCTCGTACCGGGTGCAAAGACCTTGTGCTGCTTACCTCGTTTGCCATGCTGGTAGCACGACGTGCCACCGGTGTCAGCCTCACCCGACTGCTGGTGGCGCTCCTGGCAATGAGCCGTCTTGCCACCGGTAGGACCCGGTAGCTGCGGGTGATGCTGCTGTTGATGGCGCGTTGCGCCACCGGTAGCAGCGTGCAGCTGCAGGTGATGGTGCTGTTGATGGCCCGTCGGGCCACCGGTAGCAGCCGGTAGCTGTGGGTGATGGTGCTGTTGATGGCGCGTTGGGCCACCGGTAGCAGCCGGTAGCTGCGGGTGAGGCTGCTGTTGATGGCGCGTCGGGCCACCGGTAGCAGCCTGCAGCTGCCGGAAATGCTCCGCAAGGAAACGGCGGAGGCGAACCTGCCGTTCTGCTCTTCGGCCGCCACAACGGGACGCCGTTGCAACCATGGGTTTGCCGACGTCCCCCGCTGGCTTGCTGCCGGCTCTAACACCCGCTGACGCGAGCGCTCGCCACCAAAGCGTAACCTTGGCGGAGAGCGTGCGTTGGCAGAGAAAACGCCAGCATGGGTACAAGTCAATAAACTTCCAAAATAGTCAAATTCAAGCAGTCGCGTGGCAAACCCCAGCCAGGTAGATGGTCGTGCAACATGGATAGCTTTGCGGCGACGAAGTGGCGAGTGGACCACACCTGCTCACAACAGCGGTAGCTCAACCAGTAGCAGTCACTCGGTACTCACGGGTCGTCTTTGCTCACACCTACCACGTACGATGCTCTATCCGCTGAACATGAAATGTTGTGTTCACCAACTACCATCCAATCAAGGGATACCCGGTTCCTCGTCTCTTGCCTGTTGCTATGCATACTCGGACTGGGTCTTTGCATGCTGCCGTATGCCCGCCGTGACCGCATTGTGGGCTGGACATCGCGGCTGGCGCTCAAAGTCTCGGGCCTTATCTCGTCCCAGACGCACTTTCTCTTCGGAGGAAGCGTATCTGGACGTGAGCTTGTCCCTGTTGGAGTCAGCTGGCAAAAACAGGCGAAGGTTTCGTAGGAAGGGCCAAAAGGTGGACAAGCAGTGAGGGGTCGTCGGCATGCTGGGAGAACATCCGTTTTGGACTTGTTTTTTTTGGCCAAGCGGTCGACTGTTCGGCGTGCAGTTTTCTGCAGTGACTGGGCCGCTGAACCTGGTTCCCTAGCTTTTACATTCGCAGGTCGTGGAGGCCACATGCGGGACGTGATACAATCCTTTTGAATGATCCATCCAAGCGTACAGTCAGCGTAGGACTTGCGTACGCGATATGCCAAAACCAACTGACCGGACATACATACAGAGCCACCGCCAACATTCATGATTGCCTGTTTCACATGCCAACGTCTGGATAGGAAGACACGTCGCTACTCCCCTCCCTGTCCCACACGCACGTACGCCTAGTCCGTGGCCGGCCTTAGTTTTCCTCCGGTGTGCTTTCTTCCCTTACCCTCCTTACCTGAGGTTGGAAGTCCGCCTCGCTCGCCCGCGGACGCCACGGCACGAACGCCGATTCGTATGACCTGGGCGGAGAGCGTACGTTGGTCGAGACAATGGAAGTATGGGTGCCAGCCACTGTACGCTTCTACCCTTGCTTGCTGTTCGTTCCCTCAGGTGAAATCCAAGTCACGCGGCAAACACCTAGCCAAATGGCTATGCAAAATTCGTGCCAGTAGGTGTGGATCTGGATGGACCTCTGCGTCAACGACGTGACGAGTTGACCAGACCTTCTCAAAGCAGCAGTAGCTCAACACGTAGTGGTTCCATCGGTGAAATCTCGCATCTTTCTCACATCTAGTGCACACGGTTCTTGTTTCACTATCCACCACGATCGAAAGGCTCCCGGCGCCTCGTCTCTTACCTGCCGATACTCGGCCTCGGTGCTTGGGCTGTGCGTTCCCACTGCCCCGGCGAGAGCTTTGCGGGCGGGGAACGCCGGATCGCCCTCGCCGGGGCCTTCGTCCGCGCCGTGTTTGCACCACTTAGACGAGGCACCGATGCCGACGCGGGGAGGTAGTCCTTGCGTGCCTTTTCGGTTATTTTCTGTTTCGAATCAAGTGCATCGCAAGGGAAGGGCCAAAAGGGTGGGCAGGCTATAAGGCGCCGGAGGCATGCTGGGAGAATATCCGTTTTGAACCTTGTTATTCCTTCAAACATTCCATTGACTACTGTGCGGCGCACAAATTTCCACGGTGCAGGCTGAACCTGGCGCCCTAGCTTGTTGCTTCGAGGTGCATGAGGCACGTGCTACGGCCAGTTTGTTTGAACCATCCAAGCGTACAGTCAGCGCAAACCTTGCGTTCGCGATATTTCAAAATCATCTGACCGGGAACATATATCGGAGCACCATCAACCGACATCCTCGGCCATGGAAACAAGCAGCAAATATCTACCTCAGTCATATCGCCGAAAACACCTGAAAAGCATGCCCTTCTCAAGACAACGCCAGAATAGCAGGCGACGGTATTACCTCTCCCCCCGGTGTTTGCCATCGGGGTTGGGTTTTCGTCGCGTTGCGGCGACGTTGTAGAGCATGCCGCCCCCCCCCGGTGTTTGCCATCGGGATTGGGTTTTCGTCGCTTGGCAGCGATGTTGTAAAACAAGCCGATCACTTCGTGAGATCGGCAACCAGGTTACCGCTTTTTTTTTTACCTCTGTTTTTTTTGGGCGGTAACCATGAATGGTGCTCGAGTTGATTATGCTGTGTGGGGTCGGGAAACCTCATTCCGTGCAAAGGGGATAATCGCACCACGTTGTGTGAAAATGGTCAAGCATCGTCGAGGCAGTTGCACAGTGCTTACAACTGTCTCTGGGAGTGAAAGCACCAGAGAATAAACTAAGTCGTACGAAGCTGTCATCCGTACGCAAGGAGGTAAGCACAAGATGCTGAACACCCTTAGCAGGATGCAGCGCACCCTTCATGCGACTCGCCGAATACCTCACGACGCCTCGCGCTTGGTGATGTGAGAGCCTGGTCCGGTGAGAACCCGTCGTGCTCCGTCCCGGCTTTGTAGGGATGCGAGGTCAATGGTCTAACGACTACGGCATGCGCGACTATGAGTACCCCTTCCACCCCCCCCCCCACCTCTCTCCCGCGCACGGGCGCCTGATCCTTACTGTGCTTTCGCCCCATTACCCGTTCTTTTCTCTCCCCACTTACCGATGGACAGTCCTCGGCGACTCTCTTGGCATTGGTCGGCGCGGAGCCCAACTTGCCGCCTTTCTCGGCACGTCTTGCCGCCTTGACGGGAGGCCCCGCCGCCTGGCCTGGCTGCCTTGCCGCCGGCTTCGACACCGTCGAATGCGAGCGCTTCACCCCGACGGTCTTGCGCGCGGACGGCCTGGCGGGTAGAGGGCGGGGGGTGTAGAATACGTTTGGTAGAGGTCGCTCGTTTGGGTACACGATTGATATGCTTCTCAACTCTCCGGGTGTTTTAGTGGAGCACAAGACAATCACGCGGTAAACCCCAGCCAAATTTACGTGCAGCATCCGTGCCAGTAGGTCTGCATGGACCTTTGCGGCAACGAAGTGGCGAGTGGATCAGATCTACTTACCACAATGGCTGAAAACAGCAGCGGCCATTCGGTATTCATGTGTCGTTGCTCACACCCACTACTACGTAAGGTGCATTTCCCGCAAACACAGTCAACAATGAAACCAACCCAGTGGGGCTCATGGTGCCTCGTCACTTGCCTGCCGCTACTATGGCTCGGACCATCCTCGGTGGTAGGTCGGCGTGCCCGTCGCATGGCGGACGAGGTCTTCAGGTCCTCGCGCTTTCTATCCGCAGAGGATCTTGACATTGCCGACGAGATCTTGATGTCATCGCCTTTGTTCTCGTCGAGGAACTTGATTTGGTCACCTGGTAAAAACAGGTGCGTTGGATGGGAAGAGCCAAAAGGATGGACAGACTGGTGAGGGGCCGGAGGTATGCTGGGAGAATATCCGTTTTGAACTCGTTCTTCCTTCAAGACTTCCACTGCACGGCGCACAAATTGCCGCGGTGGCGAAGTCCCTGAACCTTGCGCCCCATCGTGTTGATTCGAGGTGCATGCGGCACGTATACAGCCGTATTGATCGAACCACCGAAGAGCACAGTCAGCGCTTACACGACATGTCAAAACCAACTGACAGGGCATACACATCGCAACACGGAAACGAAGTCGGTCAATGGGAACAGCCCAGGAAAGTATACCAAAGCAGTAACACCAGAAGCAACTGCGAAAAACGTTTCCGTGTTTGAAACCCTGTGTCTACATAGGAAGACGGGCTACCCCCTCCCCCTTACCGGAAGTGGCGACTTGGGGCTACGAGCCTTGGTGGTACGGCGCGCCATCGATGCCTTGTTGGGCCTGCTTGTGCCGGCCATACGGGGTGGAGCGTCGGCGAGCTTGTCCTCTTGCCCGGGCTCCGCGGCCACGTCCCCAACAGCCGCCCCCTGTCGAACCATGGCTGCGTTGTCTCCTGCTACTGCTTCGATTCCGGCTGATGCTGCTCCTGCTTTCCCCCCGACGTCGCCGACGGCCGCCTGATCAACCGCGGCGTCGCCGGCCACCGCCTGATCAACCACCACGGCCTGATCAACCTCGACGCCGCCGACTATCGCTCCATCTTGCCCCATCGCCGCCACGGGGTGATTGGTGTTTTTCAAGGCGTTGCGAGCTCTGCGGCGAGCCCTGCGGGCCCCCCTGTTAGCGTTCCATGCGTCGTTCCATGCCCTGAAAATATCAACAGAACACGGTGACGGAGGGCCGGTAATGTACAGATGCTATCCCGTCATAACGTGTAGTGCATTGACGATGTATTTCAGACATTCCACCAGATGCCCCCCCCCAAAAGGCTTTGGCATGTTGAGAACAAGCACTCGCCGTTTCACCCAGGGCACGGTGTACACAAACATATCGCGACAATTGGGCAATAATTCAGAGCGCTCCCTCTCCCCTGCCTGCCACTACTTCGGAACCCCTCCGAATGCCGGACGTGACCACACACACGCACGGACGTAACTTTTTCCTAACGTATCCATCTGAATGTTACACCCGCTTTAGAAGCCGAAATCAAGCCATTAGCCTAGCCCACCTTCTGGCTAGTCAAACGGTTTGATTTCGACGTCTACACCGCCCTCTGTCCCCATTTTCCTCCTGGTACTTCCAGCCGCTCAGAAGGCGATGGGGAGCTAAATAACAGCGGTGACGATGAAACGACGACCGCGATAATGGCCCCGCCGGAAGAGGAGAAGTCGATACGTCAACAGCAGCTGTGAGCAGCAATACCGGAATTCCGACGAGGGCAACGAGATGATTATGATGTCATTAAAATCTTAGTGCGAGATCCTATCCCCCCCCCCCTCTACAGTCAACCTTCTTCGTGAAAAACGTACCTCTCATACCGCTTGTAGGCTTGGAACATTGGCACTAGACTCTGAATCTTTGCAGCAGCCGTGCTGCGCATGCTGCAAAGTTCGATGGTAGACGAGCTGGCCTGCAGATGGGTACTACTCCCAGCTGCTATAGGCGTCGCGAGTTTTTCTCCTCCAGCACGGTCGTCGCCTACGTCGTCGTCACCGCTGCCCCTGGGTCCGCCCTCGCGCTTTCCTGAGCTGAAGACACAACGGGAGAAAATCAAACAAGCACTATATAGACGTGTCAACCTGGGTGTGGTGTATCTACATGTTGGGGCCTTTAGGCAGTTGTTTCGCGCGCACCTCCCCCCGACTACCGCTACATTCTGGAAACCATCTGGATATATATTCCTCGTAACCGCACACACACACACGCACCGTTCGTCCCGGTCTCTGGTGGTGGTCGCAGGGGATGCGGCGGAGCCGAGCTCGCCGTCTGGCCCGGGTACCGCGGTACCGCCGTTGCCACGGCCGTCGCTGTCGTCGTCGTCGCTGCTGTCCTTCGCGGACCCCTCGCCTTCTCCAGCACCAAGACGTCCGGCCGTTGCGGCAAGACGTCCGGCCGTTGCGGCCGCGTCTCCAACGCCATCCTCCGGGGAAGCCGTGGCGGACACGTCTGTTGATGCTGCCACTTCCGATGCTGCTGCGCCTGCTGCTCCTGCTCGTACTTCTTCTCCACCTCGCGCCATCGCTGCCGCGGGGGGGGTCTCTTTTGCCCTTGCGTTGAGAACCCGGCGGGTTTCATTGTCGGCTTTCTCTCGGCTAATAATGTCAAGAGAAAACATTTAATCAGAGGGGGAGAACTTTCAGGTGTTATCTCGTCACACAATGTCTATTGCACATGACCATGAATATCAGACATACCGTTGTACACACGCCAGACGCCCCCACAGACGTCCAATGTCAAAATATTTGAAATTTTTTTTTGATATCGCACTAGATGTGTCACCCGGGGAAAGGTACATAAAAAAAATATTGTGACGTATGGACGGCGGTTGTTCAGCGTGCACCCTCCCCCGACTACAGGCTTTGGAAACCCTTCGGTCGCCTGAATTGACGGCGCACACACACGCGACGGGCCGGCCGCCAGCTCAAGATGCGGCTACTCCAGGCTGAAGTGGTGGAGACTCTCCTATACGGGTGCGTCTCGTGGAGCCTAACACCGGAGCACTACAAGAAGCTCAATGGGACCCACCGCCAGTTCCTGACACAGTGCATCGGCTGGAGCAAGCGGAAACGCCCAGACCGCCCCCTGTCCTATGCCCAGGCCCTCATCCAGGCCGGCTGCGAGGAAACCACCGAGGCCACCGTGCGCTAACGGAGACTGTGTTTCGCGGGTTTCGTTGTGCGCATGGAGGACAACCGCCTCCCCAAGCGGATGCTGGTAGGAGCGATGGCGGGGGGCGTGGGATACCGGGGCAGGCAGGAGGGCGACTGGGTGTCTCGTCTAGGAGAGGACCTCGTGGCGTTTGACATGGGAGACGAAAAGGAAGGGGGGAAATGGAAAGAGAACGCCAAGGACCCGGAGGCGTGGTACAACAAGTTCGAGGACGGGTTGGCATGGTTCATGAGTAAATGGCGCAGACATGAGGCGGAAGCGTCCGCGAAGCGCCAGCGCGCGAGGGAAGCAGAAGTAGGGAGTACGGCCATCTCGGGACCGAAGAGAAAGAGAGTCGGGGAAGCGGCGGTGGGGGGGAAGAAACGGCGACCGGGTGCTGCTGCTGTAGAAGCGAGTAGGGCGGCCGAGGCAGCACTTGTGGCGAACTATGTACCCGGCTGATGTTGTTGCGCCCTGTTCCCCTCCCTGCTGCTGTATGCTATACTCCTGTATGTCCTTTGTATTGCCTTCGGCCTCAGTGCTGTGTTTCCTTCTTCCATGTCCTCCCTGCCTACTCTGCCTTGTTGGGTACCTTGATCTCCCTTTTGCTGTTGCTTTTGCTTTTATATAGATGACTGTCTGCCCATCTGCCGCCTCTTTGTTGTGTTGCCTCCATTACTCCCATGCCCTGGTGCGTAGTGCCTGATGCTGGTACGGTACCCTTTGATTTTTTTAGGCGGGTGTGGGAAGCGCTCCTTTTTCCCTTTTTTATTTTTGCCTTTATTTTTGGGTTGTTTTATTTTGATCGGTTTCGTTGGGCTCCTTTCCTCGACTGGTCGGTGCGGTAGCTGTTCTTTTCTTTCTATCATTTTGTATTCTTTTTCCGAGTGGTTTGTACTCTATTCTTGTTTTGCTTCCCCGCGGCGTCGTATGTGCCGGGTTTTGCGACCACAGGCTCCCCATTTTTGTGGACTATAGAGCTAATGATGTGAGAGAAACAACAACAAAAAAACACACACATGCACAAGCGGTCCGTATACGTTAACGTTGTCACATATTATCTCCTTTCGGTACACGCCGAATTATATGTGGATGCTCAACCAGTCGGTCAGTCGCTTAGTACGATCAATGCTAAGAATAAAAGGCATGCTCAACACACAAATATATACCATGGTTGGTTATTTGGTTGGGTGACGCGTGTTCTGAGAACAAGCCTTGCTGCTGGTGTAGATATTGTTCGGTATTCTTGGTGAACGGAGCGAGTGAACCGGTCGACGCTTGCTCGAGAACTTGTGTTGGTGCCTCCCAAGGCTCTTGGGTCGGGAGGTCGCGGACCTTCCGTCCGCACCGACACAAGCTTGATCGTGCGTACATGTACACGCAGACTTGGCGCCATTGGTTTTCATGAAGAGAATACTGCACGCATCCGAATAATTGTCGACTCTAAATGGCAATACTTGGAATGTTTGCTTGTCAAAAGTTTCCAAAAATACATGCATGCCTCCCTGAACCATGATCTCTCGAGGGAAGGTAAATGCTAGAGTACCAGATCAACCGTCACGAAGTACTGTAGTTGTCGCGTGGAGCCGATATTTACACCGAGATCCAGCCGTTGAGATGATCGTCTTGATTGACAATGAATACCTGAACCCAAACTATGTAATAATTATTTTCGTCTGGTCTACGCGGAGGATTGAGGGCGATCATGAAACAGACGTTATGGCGCCCCAGGTAACTACACAGCACCAACCGCATCTACGTCGTCCAGGCGAAGTAACGCCCGGAATATATGAAATATGTGCAATGAATGCCTGCAGATTTTGTAGGTGTCTGTGTAGAATGGAGAAGTTGAGGAGAAGGATGCGCATGCCGACGCGGCAAGGCAGGGAAGAGGCGCATTTGAGACGGGGATGATCGGTTCGCAATGCCGTCGTGTCCTTACAGTTGAATATATCAAAAACATGCTCGGGAGGAAATTTAAACACCGGGACAGATTTAACTTGGCGTCCGCCAATTATCTGTCTCCATTTAACTTGGCGCTGACTCTTCTCCATTTTCGAGCAATTTTGGCAATGTCGCCGCTTTCGTCTGGACACAACATTCGAACCAACCAGTTCACAGACCAGCACACATCAGCCGGGAGCCTAGGCGCTGCAACGGGCGCATTCCACATGCCCACAGCAGGATAGAGCCAGCAGAGACCACTCTGTTCTCTGTGTGTATGAAGTTTCGCAACGTTAACGCACACTGGGTGTCGATGACGACCACGCAGCAGCACCTAGAAGAGCTTAGAAACAACGAGGAGGGAGACCACACACACAATCAAACACAACACGCGCGTATATATCGAGCTACAACAGTAGACTTCCCAGGGATCCGTGCATGCTTTTATATCGTCTGCACGCCCATCCTCTCGCCAGAGCAGTTCAAGTAACGTGGCGGTGATGATGCTGTGGCATCACTGCAGTTTGCCTTGTTCTTCGCTCTCTTGGCTCCATCTGTGGTTCTTTGGGTTGAATCTCCCAAACCAATCGCCATCAATCATCAATCCCGTGTTAGTATGTTGGACAACCCGAGTGGCAGCATATCTGCACGGTGATTTCTTTGCTGCCGCGGTGGCGACACCTTTGCTTTGTTGTCTCCTTTCCTTCATTGATTCAGAAGGTGAAACAATTTGAAAACGTGGGGTCCGTAGACATTGTAGATGGGTTTCACACGTGTACAATAGGGGGCTTCGCCCGCGAAATTAAACTTCAAAACCTCTGTCCCGGTACATCATTATTTTGATAATTACCACATGCTCAACCTCCACTTTGCAATGTTGAACATGTCTACACTGCGAGATGTGGAGCTTGCGTCAACCACGAAATGTTTTGAATTGACTCACCTCGCGTGTGAAAGGCACATGTAAATGCCTGCGTCGCGAACGAATTCACGGCACTTGTCGAGGTCATTATCGAACGGGTGCCTGTGGTAGTCCAACCCTTTTGAGGCGACGCACCTCTTGCCCAATGAACACCACCATCTTGTTTCGGCGCGTCTACACCAACACATGACGATACAGCGAAAATGGATGACGGAGCAGCATCGACCGAAAAAGAGAGGCACAGAGAGACAGAACGGCAGAGAGAGAGAAAAGACAGAGGCAGAAACAGAGGCAGAGCAAGGGTCAAAACATCGGTGTGACTACAATGATATCGAGACCTGCGTTGCTACACAAATGACGCATACCCATGGACGCGGAACTACATTCACGTGAACAGTGCCATCGAACACTTCATGACAACTGTTTTCGAAGAACGCAACAAATGGCTTTGGGACACCACTTGGCCCTCGGGTTTGCTATTGAACAACATGCGCGTTCCCGCGTGGTTGTATGATGCTGACACTCGTTCCGACCGGGATGAACGGGAGGGCTTGGTCACGTATGATCAGACAGTAGATTTCCACCTAAGCCCGAACACATTGGTGCCTCCGTATGCCTGGGGAGGAGATCAGGAGCATTGTGAACCACTTAGAAGCGCTCGGCGGTGAAAATAATGATGCTCGATCACCGCGCTTCGTTCAAACAACGGGGATTTCGGACATCGATATTGATACCGCACGTACATCGAGCACTCGCCTTCAAGCGAAAGACGATGGTTCGAGAGAGAGACGATCGGTAACACCTGACGTTCCATCCTACGGGGTCGAGAATGATTACCTATCCACTGGCGTAGAATGCCAATCAGTCGTTACGCGTTGATCCCAACATCCACGTCTCTCTCTAAACGGCGCTCATATGCTTGCCACGTGTTGCGCGCATGCTGCCCTACTGAACATGCATATCTAGTGTTTTCAACTCGAAAGCTCGCGACCGAGTGATTTTGACACGGTCAGCTCGAGCAGGGACGAACAAGGGTAAACGCGAAGAGGGATCACAACAACGCTGGGAGGGCTGCCGCCGAGGGGGAGGTGACGCTTCCCCGCGATGGATTTGCGGGAGGAGTGGGAGATACTCAGGCACGTGAGATGAGGAGGGGTTGGGGAGAGTGAGACGATTGTGTCCAGATCAACGCAAGACGTCCTGCTGCCCCAGATGGGCTCACGATTGAGCCGTGCCATAGAGAACTATTCAATATGCAGGTATTGATGGCAAGGTGTGTGGGACATGATTTACTCCCAAAAAGTGACAGAAGGACGTTTTGATGTCCCATGGTATGTGGTGGTGGCTTCTCGCACCAAGTGCAGCGTGATGTCCCATCTCCTGATAACTTACCGGGCACTACCCGAGGGCGGGTGGATACACTATTAGTTGTCGTTCCGGTCTCTGCTTTGTGCGTTTTATTTTCTGTACCGGTCCAACTGACGCGGGCACCTGGTCACACGCCA